TATATATATATATATATATATATATATATATTTTTCTGCGTGTGTACTTATTTTTATTTATATATAAGGATGTAGACTGAAAATAATAAGAATATGAGGAAGTTATCCATTTTTTTTATTTCCTCTTCAACATAATTACCTTCTCTTCTCATTCCTTTTTTTTTAAGGAGGGGAGGGGAGGGGAGGGGAGAGAGAACGAGGACTGGGAAGGAACGTTGTACTAATCACTCTATGTTACTTTGCCCCTCTCTTCTTTACTCGTAGAAGAGGAAACAAGAAAATATATATATATTTTTTTTTGGTTTTACATTATTGCCCAAAGCCAACAAAAACACATTTATAGGCAGAAAACTCTTCTTCTTGTTTTCTTACCTTCATCATCTCACTTTCCTCCTACAATCTCCTGAAGAATACAACCGAAGGAAAGGAGAAAAAATAATAATGATAATAAACAAATGAAAAAAGAGAAGATTCTCTTTCTTAACTTTGACGAAAAAACTATGAAGCCTTGATTGACTTGGTTTACAATGCTAATTACGAGACAGGGAGCATGAGGTAGCGTCTTCAATTTTTCGCCTTAGTGAAGCACTTAATTTTACAGTTTGTTGCTCAGGTGACTTTGTGGGTTTTATTGCCTGATCCACATGATGATGAGGCTTAGAACGTCTGGTAGAGCTATTATTTCCACTTCTTTTGTCGTCCCATCTAATATCAGGAGATTGTTGTACTTCTTTTTGCATAGCTGATGAGTCATGTAAAACAAGCGTAGCAGAAGTATCGTAGATTCCAGTAGACATTGAGGCCGAGAAGCTCCGTTTCATTTCTGCAGTAGAGGAGGATGGGGTATCACCATAGTGTGCAGTACTTCCTGAGAGACTGGATCTTCCAGAAAGTCGCCTTCTGGCAGTAGAACCAAAGATAATGGACTCAAATAACTCCACATCATTAAGTGCTTCACGCAATTCTATTGTTTCCTGTTGTATCAGTGATTCTGTCTTTTTGCTTCCCACCACGGCAGGAGAGGTACCTAAATATGTGAGAGCGATATGTAATGCCCTTGCCATCTTTCTGCTTGCGGCGTCACCGACTTCCATATACTTCTGCGCGAGTGCGGGTAGATTCATCATGGCGGCGGCGCACTCCCCGTGAGAGGCGACCACACCGAGTGCAATGTAGGCTAGACACCGGCGGCGTAACTCTGGATGAGTGCTGGCGGTGAGTGCCTCCGCGATGGACCGCAGGCCTGCCGAGTGTCCGCCGCTGGCGATGACGAGCGCCCGGACCGCCGCATCTGTGGCGTTGGCGATGGCGGCGACCGTCACGACGACGCCCCGCAGGAGGACGGCGATCCACCGGCCGAGTGCCGACCGCAGCGGCCCATCGTGGAAGGCCGCCGGAGAGGTGCGGGCCGCCACGGCCATCAGGACGGCGCAGGCCTGCCGGCAGATTGCCGATCGCTTCTCCCCGCCGCAGACGGCGAGCGGTTCGGTGAGGAGCGACGCGAGGGCGGCGAGATGGCGATGGAAGGAAGTATCTGGTATGCTTGTTAGCCAATACTCGAGTGTGCGGAGGGCAGTGAGACGGGAACCCGCTGACTCCGAAGAAGACCCGCATACGAGCGCCACACGTCGGACTTCCCCCTCCAGTTCCCTCTCGCTTGGAAGAGGAGGTACCGCAGTAGCAGTGCCATCAACAACAACAGGTGAACCATCACTCTCATATCGAGGACACGACGAATATGGTGTTCGGCGACCCAAGAGCAATAATAGTGATGCCTCATCTTCTACCATATAAAATTTAAACATTTTATCAGGATTACGTTCAGAGGCATTATCGATAAAATCTAGATACTCAATAAACTGATGTAGGGCACTCTCAGCTATACTAAAGTCATTTCCATCTTCCACCTTAATACGCAGAAGGGTACGTGTTTTTTTACACAATGACATCATACTATTAAGTTCATCATTGGAAACAACACCACGAAGACGAGGTTCTAATTCAATAGCACTAGTACGAGCTAAAACTTTCGCTTGATGCATCGGTACCGCACCATCACGACGTTGTTTATCAAAACTCACAACATCCCCCATATCGATATGCATGAGACACTGAAATACAGTCTCTGGAGGAGTACGAAGTTTAAGTGCTTTATTCCTTACAGACTGAAAAAATCGTGCTAACTCTTGCATTTCTACGTGAACTTCTGTGAGTTGCGCAGGTGTGTGAGGTGGACGTCGCAGTGTCCCGTGAAGCTCCATCTGTCGCTGAAGCAATACAGAAGGTTCCATATTATTTTTATTATTATATATGTGTTTATATGTTTAAATGTGTATTTGTGTCTAGGAATGAGATATTAGAGCGTTTAATGTAGTTATTCTGACTCTACACAACATATAAAGAATAAAGAAAGTATGAAGAGGAGGGGAAACAACAAAAGGAGAGAAATAACACCTACTTCCAAAGAATTAAAAAAAAAAAAAACTAAAAAGTAATACTGAAAACAAACAAACAGAATAAGTCCTTTCAGCACATACTCCAAATAAATAGAGAATTGAACATGTACCCAGAAAAGTATTTCTTACTCCTTTACACGTTTTTTTTTTTTTTTTTTCTTAAGTGAGAGTCGATGTTCACTGTTTTAGTGTCAAGATGCAACAACTCCTATAGCACTGAACTGCATTGAATGTATAGAGAGCGCATCAGGGAGGGTTTCCTTAAGTAACAGCAAATCTGTCTCATTATACTGAACAACTTCATGCCTAGTTGGTTTAAAAAGTAGACGAACACTGTAACTTAGTCGACCTACAGCCATTAGAGCCGCAGAAGAAGAATAATATTTATTATTATTATTATTATTATTATTATTATTATTATTATTATTATTATTATTATTATTATTAATGGCAATATCTTTACAGATAATATGACCTTCATTACCAGTCACTGTAGCCACCCATTCAATACTCTGTCGTCTCTTGACTGTAAGCATCGACGGAGAAGGAAAATAAATCAATGATAAGCTACTTTCTTCAGTGGAGGTTATAACTTCTTGAAAAATAAGAGGATTACGTAAAAGACTCGTCGAATAAGATGAACCATCAACGGTAGATTCTGTCTCACGGGGATGCCAAAACTCAAAATGAATACTACATGTCCCACTGGTGCATTCCAGACATTCACAAACAAGCTGAGGTACAGGGACGGTAAAAGCATCACGTACGGTTATACCTTCCAACTGAACTAAAGGTCCTATCAAACCAGGAGAGCAGCAACAGGCTAATAATACCTTTATTAATGAACAACGATGCCACATGGGATTCATTTCATCACTTTGAATACCATTAGGCCATGATCGGATAGCAATAAATTTTTGCTTGAAAAAAAAATTACTATCAAATCCTTGACTAGTAGAATCCATATATGACGCTAAAAAAAAGATAAGATGTTTTCCTGTGGTACTCTCAATCTCTGCAAGTGTCATTTCACTTGCTGTACCAAATAATTCTCGTAATACAGAATCCAAGTGACTAACATAATAGTAATAATTATTACCATTCCACCACTTATACATAGTTCGAAAAGGGAGAAAGATTCCAGAAAAATTAAATACATTTTGTGCGATAGAAACAAAACATTCTTCTATACGTTTCACTGGTATCTTTAACACCATTGCAGCTGCTACTATAGTTGCAAAAGAAGCTGCACAAAAAACATTTGTTCTATTCCATAATTCCTCATAACCGTAACTACTACTACTACTACTACTACTACTACTACTACTACTACTACCGCAGTTGCGCAATGCTAAAGCTTGGAGGTAAGCCTCCATTCCGCTACCTTCTAATACTAGCACACGTATAGAATGTAATTCTGTTCTTTTGCAAGAGATGGAATTACTTATAGTAGAACTTAATGGAGCATGTGGACGCATCATAAATAGTAATCGTGCTTTCCAAACATTACGTAGATTTTCCAATTGCATAGAAATTGGATTGCCATTTAAACTTAATAATCTAAGTGACGGAAATCTAGTAATAGCACAACGCTGAGCGTTTTCAGGATTTAAAAGTGTTTCAAATAAGGGTAAAACCTGTGAAGTAATTTCATTAAAATCCAACATAAGGAGACGAAGGTGCTGTTCATTAGCTAACATTTTTAACAATTCTGAAATACGATGATCTCCAAGGTAACAGGATGATAAATCAATAATAGCAAAATGTGTCCTATGCTCTAAGACTCCCTTTAAAGACATAAAGTGATTCTCAAGTGGAATCTGATGTGAAAGCAATATATAAGCCAAACTATCATCACCTTTTATTCTATCTAATTCCTTTTCTATACAAATATCCCATGAAACTGGATGTTTTACCAATTTGTGTAAAATTAATAAAACGTCATTCTGAGTAATTTTCTTCGTCATTGAGAGTTCCTGTTCCACACTCTTTTTGATACCTTGTGCGGCTACTGATTCTACTGATTTATGTTTATCGGTACTACAGGAAGAATTAATATTATGAAGCAACTTTGACGTAAATTTACTACAACTACCATATCGAACTATACTATGTAACCTTTTCAGCACCGACGTCCATTCCTCTTCACTTACTGAATGTTGATTAAGTGAGGCAATGACACTGTAAACCCTTGCTATTTCGTAGAGTTCCTCAAGCTTAACGCCCAGTTCGTCCAACATGAATGCAGCTGTGGTACAAGTAACTGCGAAAAAAAAAAATAAAAAAAAAAAAAAAACAAGAACTGAATATCTGACGTTTTTCGTATTAATGTTTCTTATCTGTGTACATCTATCTTTATACCTATGGGATGGGAGAGAAAGACTGATGGGGCAAAGAAGGTTGTCACTTCCACTGTAGCCCACCACATTTTCATCATCATCATCTCTTTCTCCTTCCCTCTCTATCACCTCAGCGACAACAAGTTAAGAACAATATACCCACAAAATAATAATAATAATAATAATAATAATAATAATAACAATAACACCCTACACAGAAACAAAAACAGAAACATCAAAGCATAGACCCTCACACCATTTCAATGGTTAGACTTTCCCCGGTTCAACACCCATCAGTGTACACAATACCAGCGCCGACGCAACGGCGTCCCCTGCAATCGTCGGCAGTGGGCCACTGCTGCTGTGGCCAACAACATGCACGTCGCCCAACACGAGTCCGGCGTGCGCGGCCTCCTCCTCGGCGGCGAGATGCGGCAGAAACACCGAAGAGACGTCTCGGGACGCCACCGTCGCGGGGAAGTCGGCCACACGCGGCACGTCCCTCCCGGCGTACTGCGCACGCAGCAACGCCTCCCGCAGAATATTCATATCAACTGTCATGGCGTTAGTCGCCGTCTACTCCCAACAGTCAGACTCCTCTCGCGAGGTAAAAAAAAAAATAGAAAAGGAGGAGAGGAAAGTGATATCGGAAGTCTCAAAGACAACACACAAGAATAGGGGGAAAAAAAGGTATGTACTCATATTGGGTAACGCAGAAACTCAAGGAATAAAAATAATAACAAAGAGCGGAGGAAAAATATGGTAGAAAAAATGTGTTTTCTTTTTTTTTTTCTTTTATCTTTTCTTTTGCCTTCTCCTCTCTCCAATATACACATTCTGTACAGGAGCGCACTGAGGTACATTATCGCATCTAGTTATAAATGCAAAAGCAGAGCTACTCCCTACATTCCAGATAAAACTTAATAGAAAAAAGCATATATATATATATATATATATATATATATATATATATATATGCATGAGCAGAAGAAGAAGCACCCAGCATCCAGCACCATGCTCATCCATATCATCAAGAGTCAACAGCCTCCACTTCTGGTTCTACAAAATGAAGACCTCTACCGCCCTCGGAGCGTGAAACTAACACAGGACCGCTGTTATCTTCGGTCTGTTCTCCACCCTCACGAGAGGATGCTCCTGTATCACCACCCGATTGTGTTAGATTCCGCTCTTCTTTAGGTGGAGCTGGCGGCGGTTTCATCGCCTCTTCTATTTCTTCCCAATAATATTCACCCGTTCCATCATTCTTGGGACCCTTTGAATGTACTACTATAAGCTCAGCGCCCTCACTTTCAATTCCACAATTGTAGAGTGTAGAAAAATCCTCAAGGTTTTGTCGTCCCAGATAGAGTCGAACATTGTAGAATATACGTCCTGTTAACTTCTCGTACCGTTCTTTTATGGCTTGAACGGTGTCGTGATTAACGTCACAATGAAGGAATATAGTAAGATTGTAACGTTTTAAACGTACATAATGCGGTTGTGCAAGAGAAGACATCTTAGATGACTGAAAAAGTCAACAACAACAACAACGACAACAACAGCAAGCAACAATTAATAGTCGTATTGTTTTAAGAACTATAAAAACGGAGAGAGGGGAGAGAGAAAGGAACAAAAAAAATAAAATAAAATAAAATAATAATCAAAAATAAGAATAAATGAATAATATTAAATCAAAACAGAAAGAATTAGGTAAAACCAGAAAAATTCAATAGAAAAAAAAAGAGAGTGGAGAATAATAACAAGAAAAAAAAAGAGAATTAGAAATGCAATTTTGTTAATTTTTCTCTGCCTCAACTCCTTTCTTGTTTATCTACTCCTTCCGTTTCCAATGGTTTGATGTCTTTGTATTACTCATTGTACTCCTGCTGTCGAACATACTTTGCAAAGTTGTGATCAGCGTCACGCAGCATCTTATTAGAGAGACGTCCACGTTTACGGTATGGATTACCCATATCTAGTACTGTGCGATTAACACCTGGCATAACTTCTGACTCCCGTCCGAGTGGGGCGGTAAGTTCACGGCTAAGATCCCGGTGTACTTGATGTACGGTTGGACTATAACGTAGCAACTCATCAGGTGTTGGTGCGTTAGTGAGATGTTGTGCTCGTCGCATCCAGTGGCCTCGAGTTGTGTGAATACGCCCTGCAAAATCGCGAAGATTAAAGAACTTTTTATCAATTAATTCTTTCCGTCGCTGCAGTACACGAATAATACCGGCACTATCTCCCAATGTGCGGTATGCCCGCTCAGCTCGCTCCAGACACTGATCGGCAATAGCAAATGTACGGTCATAGTCGAATGGACTGAAATAAACGAACTTTTCTTCAAAGTTAAGATTAAAGCGGCGACCGAGGCGTGGTAGCAATCGCAACATGCGATGCGACTCACCACTGTTGTGGAATATGTTCATAATTTCCACAGCTTCCTCATACGCCTCTGCTGCTGTCTTTGTAGACCCTAACGCTTCTCGTGTTAGTCCCAATTCAAATAAAGCCTCACATATTAATTCAAGAGATGGTCGGCTAGATGCATCTAGCATACGTAAAGCGTTCTCAATATTGGCTTTACTACTCTCATGACGACCAACATGTCTAAATGCGCTAGACAATTTTAATAGAATACTTACACGTTGAGAGTGATTATCTGGATATGCAATAGAATAGGCTTTGGCAACCACACCATAATGTTCAAGAGCTTCTTGAAAAAGTCCTCCTTCCATATAGTAATCACCTTGTAACTCTAATTTTGCTATCTCACCAAGTGGTACATAGGGGCGTTCCGCTTTCACCGGGATCCCTTGTGGTTGACGTACATCACCTGTATGCATAATATCTGTGCTACTAGCATCACCCCACGAAACTCCTTTTGGTTCAACTTCTTCACCAACACCACTAGTAGTGTTTGTACCTGCAGCTGCTGTTGCTGAAGAAGTTTTATTTGCCTTTGGAGTTCCATCCAATGCTGCCTTTTTTAGAATATCGCTAAGAGTCATACCTTCTGGCAAACGTTGTTTCGGCTGCACGAGTTGGTTAGGGAATAACTCACCAGGATAAAAAGAGGTATAAAGACGCGTAATCCAGCGGTGTTGCTGCTTGAGGGCAGTAAAAACACCTACATCCTTGCATTGTGAGATAAGAAGACGTTTACTCATAATTCACCTAACAAACACCAATATTTCTCTTTTTTTTTTTACTTTTCTATCCTTCCCCTCTCTACTTCTCAATTCTTTATTATTTCAATGTTTTGCTATTCACCAATTAACCAAAGCCACCACCAACAACACTCACTCACGCACACAATTCTAGTGAACGCTGAAAGAGAAATGAGTTCAAAAAAAAAAAAAAAAAAAAAAAACAATAAAAAAAGAAGCAAACAATAATGATACAGAGAGAGAGAGAGAGAGAGATGTATACAAAATATAAAGAAAAGGAAAGAAATAAGCAACCCTAATTATCATTAAACATTCCGTACAAAAAGGGAAGATAATTTCCTGCTTTGTACAAACGCAGAGATAGACTAAACGTAGTTAGCAAAGATATATATATATATATATATATATATATATATAACGATCATAATAAAAAGAACATAGATGTCATCACAATACTCACATCTAGTTTTTTTTCCTTATTTTTTTCATTCTCCCCATACTCATACCCTCCACATGCTTGTCTTAAACTCATGTGAAAAGAAAGTGCAAACACCCTTTCTACCACACACCGTGAAATGGTTTCACCTTTCTTTTTTTTTTTTCTTAACTCTTTTTCATTTTTTTTTTTTTTTTCCATTAAAGCCAGCAAGCATACAAGGAGAGAAAAACTCACTCAAGGAAGAAAGATATATAAATAGATATATTATCTTCCCTAAACATCTTCCGTACTCATCTCCTGACGATTCAAATCGCGGTAACCTCCACGAGAATTGCCTTCTCGGAAACTATTTTGCACTAATGATACGTATTGAGAACATGAGCGTATTGTATTTATATGAGGAATCATATCTGGAAATTCTGTGATTCCTTTCACACGGTAGTTAAAAACTGAGAGAATGATGAAATAAACGGAGATAATACAAAAGAGGAAAAAAAGAAAACCAAAAAAACTCCATTTCTCTTTATTATTTGTTTTCGTATTTGTTCCAGTTTCATTTGATAACTTCTTTTCCACCTTAGGTACTTTAGGTGTCGAGTTATCTGTCGTTTTACCCTTTGGACGCTGTGTGTTTGAGGAAGAAGAAGAAGCTGTATCACTGACTTCATCTGTCCACACCACACTTACTCCAAGTAAAAGAAACCTATGTGTTGAGATATCAGGAGTAAAAGAAAAGTAGACTACACCCTCATTCCATGGGAAGATATCTCCGCTTTTATGCATAGTCCCATTTTGAGTCCCTTTAGAGGAGGAGGATGATGATGATGATAATGTTGACATCACTTGAAATTGGGCTTCTGAACTTGGATGGGTATGATTGCTGATTTGAACCATGAGTCCTTTTGCTCCTTTAGGGGCAATAGATTTAAAATATACTCTCAACGGACTGGCCACATTCGATAGCATAGTTGGAATAGGTGCAAGAAAAGAATTTGTAGGTGAAACATCAATATAACACTCTGGACGATTAGCATAATAACTCCAAAATCGAAAAGGTACAGGACCATCTTTTCGAACACGATTTAACTCAATATTGATATCTGTACCAGCTTCCACATTAGGAATCATCACAATTCCATTGTTATTGGACTGTACAGAGACGGTTGCACCTTCGCGAAGACGGTATGTGGCATTCATCTGAATCCATTGTTCTGTGAGTTCCCCGAGAGCGAGTGGAAATGCCCGCACGATGAGAATAATAGCCTCCTTTTCTGCCGGGGATGTTTGAACAGTGATGCTCATGCGGTTATTGTACTCACCAGCGAAGCCACGCACCTCATGGCACATGGGCGTTGCCAGTCGTACCTCATTTGCATAGGTGGTATACACCAGCAGCATGAATGTTACCAGTAGTAACCGAGTAAAAAGAGCATCAGAGTGAGACATTTATTTTTGCTTTTTTTTTTTCTTTATATAACGCTATCTTCTTCTTAGAAAAAAACTTGGGATCAACACTTTAATTGATTTGCCAAAGAGGTACCAATACCACACACACACAAAAAAAAAAAAAAAGAAAAAAACAATCCTTTCCTGTGTATATCAAAAATAACACTATCAACATAAATATATTTAGGGAAGGAGAGAGAAGGGAAAGAGGGGGACAGAGAATAAATAACAAAGACGAAATTCAAAAAAATATTAACAATACATAGATTATAGAGTACCTCATCATGTTTATAAAGTCAGTAATAAGAACAGTACAAAAGATGAAAAAAAAAAGAAGAGTAAGGATACTAACCCACTCTCACAAAGCACTGATGACAAGGTCTCACACCACAGAGATAGAGAGAGAGAGATGCACCCACCACCCCCTCACACACACACCGCTTTCATGGAGTTTCCATTGCTTTTTTTTACTTTTTTTTCTTCTAAGCCAAATGGAGACAATACTTTTACCGGTAAAAACAAAACTTCTCATTTCTCTCATTTTTTCTTTTTCAATTCTTTGGCAAATCATATTCTTCATGCATATAGTGTACATCACTCACTCTGTAGCAAAAAGCTCAGTTTGCCCAAATATGGTAAAAAGAAAAAGAAAATAAAGTTATAAATGTGAATCGATTTTCCGTTTTTTTTTTTTTTTTCCTTTTTCATTCATTCACGAGAAGTATTATCACTTCCGTGTACCCCTACCCCAAAAATCCCACACAGCAAGGGATCATAATGGCGAAAAGAAAAAAAGGTGAAGGCAACACAAAGAAAGCCCAATGCAAAGACCATATATATATATATATATATATATATATATATACGTATATGCATCAAACTCTTTTGGAGTGTAATGCGATACAATATCGTCTATTTGACCACATTTCCTCATCTCCCACGATGTTGATTATTTATTTAGAGTACTTTATTAGACTCTTTCTCTTTCTGTGTGCGGCGAGGGTTGCCACGCACATAATCTGTACTTCTCCGCTTTGCACGACGCTGGTGGGCGGGTGGGATATGTACACCGCGGAGAACACCCGGACCCTCCAGGCGCCTCGTTACTGTGGGATCTGCCGCTACGGTCGGGGCGTTGGCGTCCGTGTAGTGACAGGCGGGCGGCAGGAATTGCGTTTCGCCGCTGATGGCAAGAATGACTCCGTCCGAGTCGTCCGAGTCGTCACTTGACATTAATGCGGGTTAAACGTCTTTTTTTATTTTTATTTTGGCGTGTGTCGTTCCTCTACTTGTTCGTATTTCTCTTTCTTTCTCTTCACTCACTGTCTGAGTTTGTTTATATTTATATGTATTTTGTATTTATAATATGTGAGTGATTGTGCAATCGAGAAACCTTTCCTCGAATCGAAACAGGACGAGGAACAGAATGCCTGATAGATGATAATGAGAATAACAAAGAGTCACTCACAGGGATATATGTATGCGGAGTGCCTGTTTGTTTCTCTTCTCGTGATGGATGTGGGGTCAACGTGTTGGCCCACAACAACCGTGTGAGATGAGCACGAATACGTTACTTCACCCCTTACACAGCACCAACAACACAAATCGTCGGTCTTCCTTTAAGTAAATAGAGGAATGAGCTAAATTTGGTAAAAGAAGGTTCGCAAACATGCTATAATTCAGAAAAAAGAAAAAAAGAAAAAAACGAATAAAAAAACAAATAATAATAATAATAATAATAATAATAATAATAATAATAATAATAATAATAATAATAATAATAATAATAATAATAATTACAAACACAATAACAACTTTTCTTTTTAATCAATATCATATCCATTTCATCTCTTTTCACTATCATTATTATTATTATTATTATTATTTTTATTTTTCATCTTTCTTTAATGGTGGTATCCCTCCATCACTCCTTGTGTGGAGAGGCACTCAACACACGCAGCAGCACCGCCGCGTCCCTCTCATTCTTAATGCCCATCTGCCGCACATCTTCTATAGTGAGACCAGAGCGCAGCACTTCACCGTCAATACCGCCACGCACAAGCACTTCGCGATAGTCACTGTCAAGATCCAGCAATTCAAACCATTCACACACAGACTTTACACCGCGGGTAATATCCACATCACCACCTAACGGACAAGATGTGTTGAGAAGTACATCCACAGCAGTACGCACCTTCTGCGCATGCTCATCATACACATCATCACAACAACTCACAAATCGACGTAATGTCTCCAATAGAACTCGGAGATCATTGTAGTAAATAGAATCACCACGTATTAGACCACTATATATACTCCTTGTAAGCTTTACAAAGTGTTCTGGTAAAGCATTTGCAGTACACGCAACCACAAGAGTGCGAATATACGCATCAGTGAAAAGATTAGGATGTTTTGATAATATCAATCTATCTGCTCCTAACAATACAACTAATGATACAACACATTGTTTTAATGGAGAAAGTTGCCATTCCGCACCCAATGTTAAATCAGGAGTATTAAGGATAGACAAAGTCCATTGAATAAACGGGTGAGAATTCTCTTCTTCCTCATTATCATTATTATCACTATTATTATTGTCAGTTGCACATTTCCAAATGTTGAATTCTTCCCAGGAATGAGAAAAGGGAAGAAAAACTTCCATTATTAACCACATCAACACATCCACATAATAACAGGGATATACAGTATCATTAATACTACTATCATTAATGAATATCTCCCGCGCCAAACGGTTTTCCACATTTTTGCCTTCCTGTAACAATTCCATTTGCCATGAAATATTTTTTTCAGTACTAATAGCAGAGAAATTCATTCCTTCTGTTTTTATAGAAACCCAAAGAATGATATACAATTTTAGTAAAGACTCCATTTCCCATTTACTACATTTCTCTACTAGACCGAACCTTGTATCAAATGTACGTATTAAATGAAGAAATACTGATTGTCGTACCATAGAAGCATGAAGTCTACACCCAACAGTATCTTTTCTCTCACGCAGTAGTGTGAGAACCATTTGAACAGCAGATAAGGCAAACTGATTTACATCACTTGGACTCTCCTCTTCAGCATGTGTAGACATGTAATATATTTATATATCTATATGGACTGAAGTTTAATTATTGAAGAAAGGTATACATATAAATAAATATATTTACTTATGTATTTAAAAAAAATTAGATATTTATATAAGGGTATTGTGCCTATAGTCAGACATGCCAACGAAATAATAATAATAATCAATATAATAATAAAAATAGTACGTGTATTACATCAAGAGTAAAAAAAAAACAAAAAAAAGAGAAAAAAAAATAAAGAAAAAATAAAACCTTGACAGTTTCTGGGTACAACTGATAAAATAAACCAAGAAAAAGTAAAGGGGAAAAAAAGAAGGCATCAAGGAAGATGCAGCACAAAATAAATAAATAAATACATACATACACACACACACACATAGAGAGAGAGAGAGAGAGGAAACAAAATATAAATCATCGTTGATGATAATGAAGAGGTAAAACAAAAAAAAAAAAAAAAGGAAACAGCGAATGTATATTTTGGGAAATCATTAACACTGATCTCCCATCAACAATAACAACTATTACAAAAACAGTGAGTTAGACTGCTTCTTTTGTTACAGAAGGAAAACGTTGAGTTGCCATTTTTGAGTATGTGTAAAATGCAAGACCCGTAAGAGTTAATAAAACTCCAAAGATAGTTTTCAAAGTTGCCTCTGAGCTTACAAAGATAAATCCACCCACAAAAACCAAAGCCGTCTTTAAATATCCCACAACATTCATGGAAAGGGGTGATGTTTGCCCGACAAATAAGAAAAAAGAAAAATTTACTCCAAATGCAAATACACAAGATAGTGCAACAGTCCAAATAGTAGTGAAAGTAACTTTGTATGCTATTAGTTCTCCTATACCATCTAAAGGAAGTACAAATAACAACATAACTGCACTAATAGGGGCTTGATAAAGAAGAAGTTGCATAGGTGTAACCCCTAATTCATTTTGTTTTGTTTTTCCCCATATAGTATAAAGAGAATTTGAAATGATGGCTAAAATTGCCCAAATAGTTCCTGAAAAATTTAAATTGGTATCAGAGTAAACTGTAAACCCTACACCAATACATATAGGTACTAGAGATAGTAATGTCCCTATATTCTCACGTTTATGATAATACGTATACTCAATCCATACAATAACAGGAGTACACATGATTTTTGATGTCTGATACACACTTACAGTATTACTAAGGAGAGATAAATTGTTAAACACTACATAGCCACAAAACGCCAAACTAATAGGAATCACCTTTGAAATATTAAGAGGTTTGATTTCAAAGCAATTGATTTTTGCGAAAAAAAGACATCCCAAAAATGAAACAATAAAATGAATAATGGTAAGTAAAGTACCAAATCGAAATCCAGCCTCCATATAGACAAGCCTCTTGTTGATAATAATAACACCAACACTACTAATGATATTCAGGAGCAAACTACCGTACAATGTAACTTCCTGCGGTAGCAAATTCCCCTCAGCATTGATTGTCCGCATATCATCCAATTTTATTCTTTGTTTTTATTTTTATTTTCTTTTACTTCGACAAATAAGAATATATTCAAAAAAAAAAAAAAAAAAAAAAAAAAAAAAATGAAGAGAAAAACAAATCCAGAGAAAAAAAGAGAAAAAAAAAATAATAATATAAAATACGCACGAAAGAAGTAATAAATAACAATACTGATATTTATGCACTATTTTCAAATATCTACAAGAGGAATGCCAGTGTACACACATATACACGCAGAAAAAAGAAAAAAAAAACACACATAATGTAAAAATGAAATATGACTCTTCTTTTTCTTCGTTTGGTACTGCTGTCATTGATAGTACCAAATGCATGCATATAGTAGAAGAAAAAAGAAAAAACACTGCCCGTTACCAGCAAAGGTGTTTTGTTTAGTCTTGTGGCATGGATCGAGCAATAAACGCTTTTTCTTCTTCAATGCGCTCCTTCCAGCGCTTTCTTTCTTTATCTATAGATAGATCCAAGTCACGCAGTTTGCGTGCCAAAGTGGCATTTTTATCTTTACATGCTGCCATTTCAACCATGGCTCCCTCAAGTGTAGAACGCATTTGGGCAAGTGCATCCTGACGTTGTCGAATAAGTTGTTTAAAATGAAGCTCATTTTTCATAAAAGCTTCTATCACTGCATTTGGATCATTTAATAGTGATCGTCCAGATGAGGGATCGGAAGGAAGTGAAGTAACCGTCTGTTGTTGTTGTTGTTGTTCTTGTTGTAATGGTGGTGATTGTCGTCTCTGTTGGGTCATTGATGTTGATGTTGTTGTTTTTCCCAAGACTTGCGAGGGTCGTTGTGTGCGTTGATCGGCGGATTGACTTCGCCGTGAGGCCACGGATGGTTCCCGCGTGCCACTTGTGTACATGTGCTGCAAAGTGTCGCCGTAGTCCAGTGCGGCGGAGGTGAAGGACGACGGGGTGCCCTTCGGAATGGCGGAGGGCTGACGGGCCGTGGGAGTCGCCCCACTGAGAGGCTGCGGTGCCTGTGGAGATTCGCTGGGTTGTGTGGTTTCACGCAGAAAGTTGAGAGGCACAAACCCACGGCGTTTCGCATCATTTAATACTTCCACTTTAATCCATCCATCCATTACATCACCGTCAATGGGGATAACGATTTCACCCTTTTTAACACTAAGCTCTACATTATCTTCTGCGTTAAAGTTGTACAAGACTCTAAAATAACGCATATACGTCTACGTATATTTATGTGTGTGTATATAAATATATTTATATGTTTTGTGTGTATCAGGTAGTTTCTCTTATTTTTTTTTTTTGTTTCTTACGCCCAAATGTCACACGGTAAGAGTATTCTTCTATTTCTTATATAGTTTTTTTTTCTTTCTTTCTTTCTTTCTCTATAGTCCCTTTATTCTTCGTTTGAAGAGAGGGCCTAGAAGAATAAGAAAAATAAAATGCTGTTTATATATATATATATATATATATATATAATATACAGATAAGGAAAATATGCCTCCACAAATACAAAGTAATGATAATAAGAATTACAATAGAGAAATAATAAACAAAAAAAGAAGGAAAGAAAAGAAAAAAGAAGCAAACATTGTAGAGGACACAAACAGAAACTATTCTCATAGCCCCATAGCTCTCACAGCAAGTTTCGCACACATATACACAGAGAGGAAAAAGAAGCCCCACATGAGGAGAAATTGTAATAATAATAATAATAATAATAATAATAATAAAAGAAATGACGCAAATGCATTCCGAATGTTTACATAAAGGAGTACTGGATCACACACAAAATTCAACACTTCCGCATATATATATATATATATAAAGAAATTAATACTATAATGCAGCACAGAAGAAAAGATTACCTTTTTAATGAGGCAAAACAGAAAAGAAAGAAAAAAAACGTAGATATAATACAGTAGTTTTCCAATTTTTTTTTTTTGTTCATGATTGGGTTTATATATATATATATATATATATATATATATATTGGTACAGATATAAAATCATCTATTCAGTAGATCCACTTTCCATTTCTACTCAATAGTATTTACTTGTACGTCTTCATAATCGGTAGTATTGCGTACTCCATTCTGTATCTTTCTGCCTTGGCATAAGACCACGTTTTGCAAGGAGACGTTCACGTTTTTCTTGTTTGTGCATCTCAAGTAGTTGACAACGCTGATCCAGTACATAAATATGTGCGGCGGCATTTTTAATTGCTGGATCAGCCCAATGTCGAAATTCCATCATTTCCACAGTACTTTTACTTTTTTGTTGTAATAGTGAGGGTGATAGGGGTGGTGTTGATCGTACTTCAGTGGGTGGCATCTCTGCAGAAAACGCAACAGGTGGAGGTGGTACTAACTTTGGCAAAGTTGTTGGTTCCAATGTTTTTTTACGCCGCTTATTACTAGTTTCCATAGAAGTACTTCCGATAGTCGCGGCAACTCTCCGCTTCTCATTTTTATCACTAGAAGTAGAATCTAAATATTCCATGTTATTTTTACTGATAATCCTTTTCACATTGTCCAGTACTCTATATCCTACAGTATACGGTAATTCCATCACCTTCACAGACGAACTCTGCTCCAAGGCGTCCATTATCTCTGCGCAGTTGTGCGGCTGCAGAGAAGTCCCACGCATGAGTATAGTCGTCAACGTGGGCACAGATCGAATCATTCTCGCAATGTCTGGAAGTGCCTCGCTGGTGATGGCGGGATTGCGGCGGAGATCAATGAACTTCAGTGCCTTCCGTGTGCAGACGGCGTTGGCGATGTGGAGAATATCCACATCGCGGAGATCGCAGGCCTCCAGTGAGAGATACTCAATAGGGGTGCGTCCCTTGAGAATAGCCGCTAGAGTCCCAACGGCATCATCCGTTAGACGATTATTGTTAAATACGAGTTTGCAAAAATGATCATTGCAGTTAAGGGCATCACGTAATTGAGAGAGAATTTCTTCATCCAGCACGCCACCTGGGTAGTTACTAAAGTCAATGAAGTGTCGCGCTTCGTCGACAATCATCCACCCTTACCTAATTTCAATATAGTTATAAAAAAAAAAAAAAAGCAAAGGAAAAGTCAAAAAAAAAAAAAAATATGATGTAACGTACATTAATATATATATATATATATATATATACATACAGAGAGATACATCCATATGGATAAGACGTAAAAACAAACAAATAAATACAAAAAAAAAGAAAAATCAAATGAATCAAGTGACATTCACGCAGACGCATACAATGGGGCAGAAGCACAACTTACAAAAACAGTAACATAAGCGCATACATACATACGTGCCATAAGTTCATATATATATATATATATATATATATATATATATATATATTCATATTATATGGGGGAGAATAAAAAGAAAGTGAAGAAGAAAAAAAAAAAAAATGCATAGCCGCTTCACACTCGCGGCACCCACCACGCTGCGGAATAGGTGCTATCCGCTTCACAAAGAAAGAAAAGAAAAAATTTTTTCACTCAATATACAGCGTCTATAGAAAACATAGGGCAGAAATTAAAAAAAAAAAAAAAAAAACAGATAGTATTCAAAACAAGCAAAAACAAAACATAAAAATACGCAAAGATATACAAGTATAAAACAAAAAAAAAAAGAAAAGATGGTGAACCTTGTGAAAAAGACATCACCGCAAGAAAAAAAAAAAAAAGAGAAACGGGAAAAAACAGTAGAACACAGAAACTCAATAAAAGGCCATCGTTTTTATTCAATCACAAACAATTAAACACCTCATCATATCAAAGTACGGTATGAGAGGAATAATAATAATAATAATAATAATAATAATAATAATAATAATAATAAGAGTAGTTACAAATAGGTTAACCATCTATTATTGTAACGCCTACAGAAGCCTATAAAAAGTACAAAATTAACTACGGAAGCACAAATATAACGCAGCAGTTACCTTCGCCTGCTTTTCTCACTTGATCCATTTCTTTCACTACTTCTCTCCTCTATTTGCTCTTCATCTGGCCCTTCCTGAGAAAGATAATCATCTAGGTGAAGTTCCGCAAACGTCTCAAAGGTGTCACGCTCTGTTTCGTAATGAACTGATGATATTTCAGCATTACTATCGAATTCCATACCTTTTTTATTATCTTCTTCTTCCTCTTCTTCAGTTTTGCCCTCATTATTTATGAAACAATGATCTGACTCGTGTAATGTAATATCGATATCTTCACTTCTGTAACTTTTATTCAGTACAACTTCCTCAACGGGACAAACAGCCCCGGATTGTCGACGTAAAAGCGCAAGTGGGGGTGCCCCATTAGTAAAGAGACGCCACAATCCATCTGCTTGTTGTTGTGTAATGATTTGCTCATTCACAAACTGTAAAAGATGTTCATACTCTATAGGCACTGGTCGGTTTGCATGTTCCTCTGGAAGACCAAAGGCTGTTTTCCTTGTTAAAACAGAGGCACACTTAAAGGAATCTTGTAAAGGTGGTAAAGGTTCTCGTGCTGAGGGGTGATCTACAATAGACACGGTCTCAGATGGGGCACTAATAGGGCGAAAATTTTTATGCGTAAATATACGACTTTTGGCAAAGTCTTGTTTTTTTCCTAACATAGGTCCTCCTCCTCCTGATGGACCTCCATTGGTTTTTTTACCTCCAATAGCAGGAGAGCTTAAGACTGGTGGAGATACAATAGGTTGATCAGGAGCTGTTTCTGCTCTTCTTGGTCCTTCTTTTACCAATTTATTCAAATCTCGTTCTTTCTTTTTTGCACTTTTTAACTCTAATTTTAACTGTTTTACCTGTTCTTCCCAGCTTTTTTCTTTTTCTCGTAGTTTAGCCATTTCTACATCACGTGACTCTAACTCCTTTTGTAACATTTCCACCTTATTCTCTACGACTCGAGTCGGAATATTATTACGTGGTACTGAAGGAACTGGAGCCCCTCGTGCACGTCCATCATTAGATCTTCCTCGTAGAGCTAAAGGTTGTTTTGGTTTTACGGGTCGCGATACCCCACCGTTTTGAGGTTGAACTGCTAATTGTTCACGTGGAGGTGATACCGTTCCTACATTCTCTGGAAAATCTCTAACTGGAGTCCGCTTACCATTTCCAACTTCGTGAATTTCTAACGGTGGTAAAGGACCTCCCGGTCGTCGTGGAGTTCGGGGAGAACGTGCGAATGGCGATTGTGTTCCACCAGATGGGAGTACACGTGCTCGACCAGGACTTCGAGGATGTCTTTGCGATTGCGGTTGTGATTGATGTTGAAGTTGACTTTTGACTTCCTCCAAGTTGAAGTTACGTGGTAGACAATTTGTTTGATATTCATTATCATCAGTTAAACCTCCTGATGCTGGACTACCCCTGGGAGTTATTCCTCGTGGAACATTTTCCCGTACTTGTGGAGGACTGATATTTGTAAGATCCTTTTGTTTGGATATATTATATACCAAATCAACAGGAACAGAATTAGTATTATATTCAGGTCGTTTAGGTACCAAAGGATTCGCATCTGAGGTACTCATAGAAAAATTAGGGGGAAGTGAATTTGATTGATAGGAAGGACGTTGTGTAGAGATGGGATCTGGTGGAATATATCGAGTATTCATAAGCATTCTCGTTGTAGTTGGATTACCACCATGTTCTGTACTATCATCTCGCAAAACAAACTTTCCATGACCATTTTCATAACTAAATGTGTAACGTTTCTCCTGTGGACCGCCAACAAGTGAAGTGGGTTTGTCCTTAGATACATCATTATGCTTTCGTTTTTTCGTTTGTTCTATTTGTTTATCCAGTGCTTCCCTTAATGCCCGCTGTTTTTCTTGTTTCTCTCGAGCTTCTCTTAATTTTTCTTCTGTAACTAGCAGCGGTTTTGTATACAAGACATGATCAGACATAATCACAAGTGCGGCTGCAATAATTCCACCTGGTGCGTATTATTAAACTAAAAACACTCAGTGTAGATAGACACCACAATAATGTGTCTCTGAATATATATATATATATATATATATATATATATTACGGGTTCTCCCCGAGCTGGCTGTTAATAGTAATAAGAGAGAAGTGAAATATGTAGAATAATTCTCTCTCTCTTACACACACACACACAGAGAGACCGCTTTTTTCTTTCCTTTTCTTTTTGTATTTTCCTTATTTTTTCTTTTCTTCTTTAAAAATACTTTTTCTTCTCACAACACAATTTTGTGAGACTCCTTACAGAGAGATTAACCAAATAAAATAAAAATAAAAATAATAAAAAAAAAAAACAATAACAAAACAAATGGATGCCCTTTTCAGTTTATGTTGGTCTATGTAGACGTGTAACTAACAAAGGAAAAAAGAAGAACGTGATACTTTTGAGAAAGAAAAAAGAAGAAAAAGAAAGAAAGAAAAAAAGCAATATATATATATATATATATCCATAACATTCTCACCCTTTTTTCTTTTTCCTCTGGTTTTAAGGGGAGGGAATAAGCCAACAAGGTAGAGAAGTCAAATGCAAATAAATACATAGTCGTAGGGACAAATAATGAATGCAACTGGTCCTCCGTGACACGACGATGTAATATATATATATATATATATATATATATATATATATTTAGCAAAAGATTTATAGAAAAAAAAAAACGGTCGAGGCACACAAGCTCACACATACACATAAATACACTTATGTACGGATATACAGAAATAATAAAAAAAAAAAGCAGACTAGCAAAATAATAATAATAATAATAATAATAATAATAATAATAAAAGAAAAAGAAAAAAATGGGACGTACTTATACATAATATGTATTTTTTTTTTTTTTTACTTCCTCAACCATTGCCCCATCATCACACCATAGGCTTGGTCTCGTTGCACGAACGAAGTTAGGAAATACGAATCACCTAAATGGGTTTGAATAGAAATAGCATTGTCCAATACCTTTACACTACGCTGTTTTTGAATATCTCTAATTTCATCCCATTCAAGGCTGAATTGAGCACCTGCAAGACTTGCTTGAAAACAAAGCCAATGAGGAGTTATAAAAACAAAACCCTGCTTGGGCATTGTGTTACCTTCTTCTACAAAAGCACAATTAAATGTGTCAATTATTTCTTCAGATGCCAATTGAGGAAAAGATTTACGAAAAAGACCTTCTGTCTGATTTTTAATAGCATTTGTAACTCCAGCAACATCCAAAACGGCACTTCCCACTACTTTCCCTACCGATACGGGAGCACACACAACAGCCGCCGCTCCACGTACAGCTCCTTTAGCGACATCACTAAATCCCCATCCTTGTTGTTCAGCAGGTTGACTAAGGGATGCTAATTCTGCAGTACTATGGAAGGTGGTTTCACCCACTCTAGATTTTGCGAGCAACTCTTCTTCTCTTGAAATTTGAGAATCCACTTGATATCTATGTTCTATTGCTGCTACGGCTGCTCGTACTTCTTCCTCTTTAACTTCCATAAAACCATTTCGTTCATAGGTACCTTTAGTAATATTTAAAATAGCTGATAAACGTTCACTAGTATATTTTCTTTTTGACTGTGCAGAACCTCGCCTTAAGAGAGGATTATATCCATAAACTGAGACTTTAGCAAATTGTGGAGTATCTGAAAGAAGTGTGATAACATGAAGTAATTCTTCTCTTTCGGTTTTTTCTTCGAAAATAACATCTTGAATTAATAGAGCTCGTGAGTTTTTGGCATCATAATTGACAAGAATATACATTGTATATAATGTTCGTTGTTGATCTTCACTTGCCCCAAGACGCCATGCACATGGTGGAACTCCACTTAAATCTAAAGGATTTTCTACCACAACTTCTCCAGATACAGATTCAAAAGGTTGTACTTCCACACAATCTGTTCGTAAAATATCACACATTAAATCTGCCTGCATATCTTCCTCTAAATTAATATAATTTTTAACAAGCAAAGGCCCAAGACATCCTGGAGTAGGGAGTTCAATATAGTATGTTAGAATAGGTGGTAGTTGCTCAAATACTTCAGGTGGGGTAAAGGGAATAGGTCTACTAGAGAGCACCAAACGACCAAGTGCTTCATCTACAGTAGAAGCCACATGCAAATATTCTGGTTCTTTTAATTCCATTACAGAAGACATTATACTTGAACTACACTCATCCACATGCATTTTATTTTCAACCTTATCATTCATACCGCTGTTGGAAGCTGAAGGAGGATGACTATCGCTAATAGACATATCGTCTCTTGTATCGAGCATCAAACCAAAGTCTGGAGTATCTGGGTGGGTATTCGCATCAAGTACACGTACTTTTTTCTTTTTATCACCAGTAGATTTTTTCTTTTTAGCAACCGTCATTCCTGGAGATTCAGAATCAGTCATTTGTGTAGGATCAACATACTCTCTTCGTCCATCTGCTGCTACTGCTGCTGCTGCTGCTGTTGTTGTTTTTGTTTTTACTCCCATAGTCCCAACATGAGAAGCAATACCACCTTTTTTACCACCACCACCACCACCATCAGCACCAGTACTCGAAGATTTATCGGTTCCACTTGAATCGAAATTTGTATTTTTGCGAAAAGCCAATTCTGCCTCTTCAAAGGAATCATACATCTCCTTGTAGTGTACGGAAAGTTGTTTAAGAAGAACTTTAAAAAGAGTTAAAATAAGACTGTGTGCTTCTTCAGGATTTGCATCCATCGCATCTTTCATAGCTGTACTCATCGTAGCAAGATCGTTCAGGCAACCCACAAGACTTACAGAGGAATCATTGATACGACGGCTAAGTGTATGGGCAACCTCCAACACATGCGGATCATTCACCTTCTGTCTTTCCACAATATGTGCAAGTTGATTGGCCATGCCGCTAACGGCATCGGGAACGGCACTTACACTACTGGAGACCGCCTCCACACTCGCAATCCACTCCTCCATGGAAATAGAAACTGAACTGTGAAAAAATAAGAGAAGAAAAAAGAAAAGAAAAGAGAAGAAAAGGAAGAAAAAGGAAAGGGAAAAGAAGAAGTATATGGATTTCCAATCCTTCTTCACTCTGAAGAACGAATTAGATTATAAGGAGACCCCAGAGAAAACAACAAGAACAGCAACAACAAAAAACATACAATAACACCCAAAAAAAAAAAAAAAAAAAAAACGGTTCGGTACGATACTCAGAAAAGTCCAAAAAAAAAAAAAATCTTCTTTAAGAATAGAGGAAAAAAAAGTAATAAAAAATTACTTTCTATTCCTCAAATACACACATGAAGATACACAGACATTTGAGCATATTACAAAAGAGGTGTGAGAGGGATTAAAAACAAAGAAAACAAACAAACAAAAGAAAGAAACAAAAACAAAAGGCTAATAATTCCTCTCACATCTTCTTAGAAGCTTCCTCATACACCATGTACATAAAGGTATTCATCGCCGCAATGGCATCTCTACCCACTTGCATAACCTCCAAACGTCTTAGTAACTCCAACGCCGTACTTCGCACCTGCAGTGATGGGTGAAGTAGTTGTGCTGCCAGTGGATTAAGTCCATCCAACGCTCTTGGCATACGTCGCAACAGTAAAAGAACTTCTTTACATGTCTGTACACAATCAAGAAGAAAGTGTAAAGCTTGTAGTAATTCCACCTCATCACAGCTGCTAGCACGACGCAAAGTGGCTACACTAAAAAGCAGAAAAGGGTCTTCACCAAGTAAAAGAAAATTTTCCGGCATATCTTGTATCATATATTCACTCTGTGCACGAACTCGTATTCGAGTAATATTTGGGGCAAGAAAAATATTTTGTATAATATGAGATAATTCATGTCTTTTTATTTCGTTTGCCTCATCACCTATCATAATCATTAAACCAATATATTCTTCTATCATGAGACGTACGGCTGTATGCTGTTCACATAATGATTCTCCTAATGCTTTCATTCGATATACCTTATTAATAATATCTTTGAAAAATTGCACATCATCCACAGAGAGATTACTTGCCTTATTATTATTATTACTATTATTACTATTATTATTGTTATTATTATTAATAATGCCATTCCATCCTTCAGGCGATACTATTACAGTCTTGTTATCTAAATCACATAATACATCCCACCATGCCTGTTGGGTTTCAAATATTGGATTTAATGTTCCAACAATATATCCAGGTATATTACTAAAATGTAAGAAACCGTTAACAGAAGTATAAGGAAATACTTTTGTAGTAGTAAAATGAGGATCTAATAAATCACCTATAAGACCTAAAGATAATACCGCTTCACATACATCATTAGGTAAACCCTGACGAGACAGTACAACAATTCGCTTCTCCAATATAATAGCCATAACAACAAACCAGAATGAAGAACCACAAATTTCCACCATTCGCTCTAAACCATATCTAGAAAATGTAAAATCATACGATTCGGGTAAGACTGGTATATGAATAGAGTGTGATGTACCAAAAGGTGAAGTAGTATATAAGATATGAGATGTCTTTGGAGATCTTGTAGATAATCGAATAACTTCCATCTCTAAAAAGTCTTTCACTTTACTTAAACCTTCTCTCAAAGGAACTTTTGCGAACGCAACACTATCAAAGCAACGTCGTAACAGTGCGGTTTGCTTTTCCACAGCCTCTTCTGTTTTTCCCTTCACATCACAACACTGAAGTGCCGTTTCTACAAGAAGAGGAAAGAAAGGTTCGAGCCAAACTAATTTAGGCCCTAGAATAGCAACACTCTTACTAATTCCACCACGCCGCACAGATGCATCTTTGCGGGTGACAACTGCACAAAGACCATAGAGTGGTGGAACTACGTAATTGGTGGAATGACTAGTTACTTTTTCTTCTTTTTTTTCTTCTTTCTCTTCTTCAGAAGCTGTGGAGAAAACATTCATTAAAGAATTAAAACGTTCCAAGTATGTGGATTGTACTAAAAAACCATAATAATTTGTATCCGTACGAATGATTGCAAATGAATATCCCGAATGATGACTATTTAAAGGTTTAGAGACCCTAGATAAAGATGTCTCATCTATTCGAAGAGGAGATCCTCTTTCAACTACTTCAACTTCATTTTGTAGAAGTTTAACCTGTAGTTGTTGTACAAAGTTATTGATGCTATGTGGGAGAGTTGAAGAGAGTAGAAGCATTTGAGGTTGTTTTAGAGCTATAGACTCTATTTTAACAGAACCTTTTTTTCGAAGAAAGAGCTCCCTTGTAGTTTTTATAAACTGTAATTCATCATGAAGAAAAGTGTTATCAACTTTTGTGTCACGAATCCATTTAAAATGACTTTCTGAAGATAGTAGAGATATATCCCCTGTGTTTACATCTGTTTTATTAGGAGAAGAGGCAGCAGCAGCAACAGCAGTAAAATAATAAATAGGAACTCGTTCAATCATAACAGGTTTCGGTCTATTAACAATAAATACAGTTCGACTAACTACCTGCTTCTCAGCACCATCTGGTAACATGTGACTTGCGCAATAACTCTCATCTAATTCAAATGCCTGTTGTTGTTGTTGTTCTTCTTCTTCTTGTGCAATTTCTTCTTCACTCCTTCCCATGCCTGAGAGTGTATTGCCCTCTCCTGTTATTATCTCCCCACTCACCGGTGAGGACTTCAATGGATACCGCGCCCGCAGACAGGAGCCGGTGTCGATATCAAACTCTGCTAGGAGTGTGCAGTAGGCAATGGGCAAACGGGAAACATCTGCGACCGATTCTTTCATTTTTTTTTTCTTTTTATTATTTTTTTTATTTATTTATTTATTTGTCTCCTTCGCCCTCTTTGAAAGATTGCACACACTACTGTCAGCTCAGAGAATGAAAAGAGTATAGAAGAAAAGAAAGGAAAAGAAAAAAAAATGGTACAAACACAAATATAAACACTAACACATAATATGCAATGAATACATGGTTTTGGTGAAAATCAAAATAATAGTAACCTTTATCCCAATACAATTTTCGTTTAAATAAAAAAAAAAAAATAAATAAATAATAAATAAAAAGAAAAGAAAAAAAAAACCAAAGATAACATGTGAGTTTTTTTTTTTTTTTTTTTTATGATTTATTTGTCACAACCTTCTTATGAAGTTCTATAGTTTCAGTTATGCGTTCCTCAAGAGATTTCATTTCCTTTTTAAAGCGTAACTCATGATCCCGCAAAGACGCACATTGTGTAGAAATATCTATATTATGATGTTCCTCTTCGTGACTGGGAACCTCATCGTGGTTAGATTTAGTTTCCACATCCTTAATCTTAAAGAGACCCTTCTCTTTCTTTTCATCTTTTCTGTCAGGTAAAGGAATCCACTCCTCTGCATCCTCTTTATTATTATTATTATTATTATTATTATTATTATTATTTTCTGGAAGCAAAGGTAATATATCAGTTGATTTTCTAGCAGTTGGAGTTTTCACCATATAATCTGTATCTTTTGTTAACGTTAACGATTCAGTTTGAGAAGAAACTTGTTGACGTCGTTCTACTTTGGTGTTCACAAGAAGAAGAGCCAACACATGAGCATTTGACAACATTTGCTTTGATGTAAATTGAAACCACAGTGTATCAGCATCATTTACTGGGTTAGACACACCAAGATATCCCTGTAATAGAGCAACAGAGTACGGTAAATAGAAAAGGTTTGGCATCCCATTTATTTTGGGAAGTTTTACACTCTTCTCACCTTTACTACTACTACTACTACTAACATTATTAGTAGTAGTAGTAGTAGTATTAGAATCATCACTAAACCAACGTAATAAAGTATTTTTAACTCGAAGGCTAACAGTTTTTTTAATTTCATGAGGAAGGCTACAAATAAAAAGACAACGTGTTATTATAGGCCATAATTCAGCTAAGAAAATATATCGAGAATCCGAATCTCCACAATGTGAAAAAGAATATAATTCGGCCCACCATTGTAGAAAGAGTCTAACATCCAACTCATCATATTTAGGACAAGAGAGTAAAGCACTGAATATATTAGTTTCCAAATCCAAAGTTCGATAATATCGTATGGCCCGCAGGAGATCTACTCCTACTTGTCTAACAGGTGTAGTTTCTCCAAATTTCAATAGTAGAAAATTAAGCAGTATGGCTCGTATATCTAAAGGAGAAAAGACAGGTTTCATAAGTGATGGATAACATTTGGAATTTAATGAAAACCCTTTGTTTTCCATACTACTATTTCCTTCTACTTTTTCTATTTTTTTTTCTTTTTCTTCTTCCAAGTTGTGGTTTAACAGAACATTAATACTATCATCATCATCATCATAATAAGTATCTGTAGTATCCAATCGTTTACTTGTCTCAAAGAAAAATTCATGCATTATTTTCCGAAGCCATTTAATATCATGTACATCATTTCTTTTCAATAAAGTGTTGTTTAAAGAAGAGCATCGTAACGGTATATTATTATTATTATTATTATTATTATTATTATTATTATTATTATTATTATTATTATTATCACTACTCTCATATTCCAATGATGTAGAGATTCGACACTCCGGTAACACCTTATCCAGCAGTGTGACCGGCATTTTCAACTGTAAAATAAATAACGAATCCTCACGACGCACCGGTGGTGAATTACCTCTAATGAATTCATTAACAATATACTCCATAATAGCTTCACGCGAAGAGGAACTGAGATTGGAAACTGCAAGAACACCATCAGTGGTATTAAAGTGGTTCATTGAACTTCAAAAAAAAAAAAAATAAAAACTCTTTCTATATGGCAAACAAATACGGACTCATTGATCTTTTAATTGAGTGAGTAAAACCAAGAAAAAAGAAACAAACAAAAAAAAAAGATGGGAAAAGAAAATATTATTAATTCATAATATTTATCAAAACACTATGTGGAGAGAAGGTACGAAAAAAAAAAACAGAAACAGTAGCCTCCACATGAGCGCCAACAGCAGCAACAATAAGAGAAGGAGACGCAGTAAATAGAGTGAAAAAAAAAAGAATAGGAAAAGGTAAATGAAAGTGTATACCAAAAAAAAAAAAAAAACAGCTTATGGATTTCTTATATGAGAGTTTAAAAAACATAAACTTTGCTCCCCGAGAGACCCACAAGCTCAAACTGAAGAGAACTACAATATATATATACATATATATATATAGTGCTCCAGAAAAAGCTGTTCCACTCCAGGTTTTTTTTTGTTTGACATTTCTTTTTCTATTTCATTCTTTCCCTAACTAATACGAGAAACATATATCAAGGTAGTTCTTTAAAATTTTGACGTTAAAAGGGCAAAAAAAAAGTATTGCCATTTTAAAACGTTAGAAATAAAATGATATTATTTCTCCCAGTTTTTTTTTTTCTTTTTTTTTTTTCCGTTCTTCACTTTTTTTTTCTTTTCGATTTTTGTTTTTCTTCGATTTTTTTTTTTCTTTTTTTTTTCTTTGTTATCACGAGGACTGTTCATTGTTGCCATTCAACACAAGGTTCTGGAACTTTAGCATGAGCTCCATAACGTCCGGATCACCAATGTACTTCTGGAAGGCAGAAAAACCGTTTTGCCGCACATCTTCCATAATGGATTGGAATTTAGGATTTCGGCGAACTTCTTCTTCTTGAAGTCGCTCCAATGCCTCACGGTTAATATTTCCAAAAGGAGTAGGTACATTCCCATCTGGGGTTAAACCACCACCGGCAGCCATACTTCTCATCATTTGAGAAAATTCCTCAGGATTGGCTCCAGCGCCTCCAAATTGTGAGGCCATATTGGCCACCATTTGGCTGAATTGTGGGTTCTCCATCATACGTGTGGTAGCCTCTATAAATCCAGGATTACTCATCATTTGTGAAATTTGAGAAAAGTCAGGCATTCCTGCACCAAAAGGGAATCCTCCCATACCACCAGGAGCACCTGTAGTAACATTTCCACTTAATTTCATTTTTTCTTCGGCTTGTTTTAAATCTTCCTTGTAGCGTTCATTAGTGGGTTCAAGTTCACATGCCTTTGTAAAGGCATCTACTGCCCGAGCATAGTTTCCTTCATAAAAGAATGAAGTACCAAGGCGAGAGTAAGCCTTAGAGTAGTTGGGGTTAATTGCAATTGCACGCTCACAATCAAGAATAGCACTGCGGTAATCTTTTAAGTGAGTATGTGCTGCAGCACGGTTTGCAAAAAATACATGATTAGATGGTTCTATTTCAATGGCTTTAGTGTAGGCGGCGATAGCTTCATTATATTTGGCCATACCCATTAATTCATTACCCTTATCCTTAATCTCTTCTGCGGAGAGTCCCTCGTATGGGTTTCTGCGTTTCTCAAACTTCTGACGGGCCTTCTCAAGACGGGAAGCATATTCCTCACTGCCTTGCTCTACACCGGCGAAGTACCCCTTTTTCTCAAGGAGTTGAAGGAATGCGTTGAACTTCTCCTCATCCTCAGCGTTGGCACCCGATGCCTGTTGCTGCAGTGCCGTCTCAAAGGCTTGGAGGAGATCAATGCCAGTGTCGTTGGCACCACCCACACCGGCAGGGTCAACACCGTACTCCTCCGAGAGAAGCTCCACGATGGCATCAACGCGTTCGGGTGTAGTGGAGGGCTGACGGCGCAGATGGCGAATGAAGGCAAATATGAGTTTCTTCTGCGTTTCCATGTTGTTGGCTGACATGGCGCTCGCTTGGATTTATGGGGAGTTTACTTCACGTGTGGAATAATCTCCAGCAAGAAGCACATAGTGAAAAAGTAAAGAAAAGAAAGGAAAAGAAAAAGAGATGTATATATAAATATTTTGCAAAAAAAAAAAAAAAACGAATCAATATAAGGACAAGGAAAAAGGTAAGGGAAATTAATGTAGAGAAAAAATGATTAGAACAATACTCATTCACACAGAGCACTGGAGGTGACCACACAGCGCAAAGATGTGAAAAAGGGAAGAAAAAAAAAAAATGATTGACACAGATTATTATATGTCTGTATATATAGATATATCGTATTGTTCTTTTTAAAGTATTATTATCCATTCTTTGGCTGTATATCGCTGCCTAGTGTTATACTCAGGGTTTCCTTACCATTAATATATAGGAAGAAAAAGAACCAAGACATAACCCGTGTGTTCGAATGAAGATAAAAAAAAAAAGAATGAATTGCTTTTATTTCTTTCCACCCTTCAACTTGGCAATAGCTTCCTTTTCAGCCTTCTGCTGGTCACGCAACTTCTGCTTGTAGGCGATATCATCTTCATCGATATCTGTACGATCCTTCTTGGGAGCCTTCAGAGGCTTCTGCTTTCCGCCTTGGCGAGATGACATACTGGAATAGAGTCCCTTTAACTGTCGAGAATATCCTTGACTAATTAATAATGAACAAAACAGAAAGAGAGAGAGAGAGAGAAAGAGAAATATATATATATATATATATATATATATATATATATATATATATATAAGGAGAAAAAGGAAAAAAAAAAGACATGAAATTATTTTTTTTTAATGCATAATTAGCCACTGTAAACTATTCCAGTTGGACAGATTGATTTAAATATCCGGAAAAAAACTTTTTTCAGCAAATGTTGTAGATTGAAAGTCAAGCAAAGTTACAAAAAAAAAAAAAATAGAATAAAATAAAATGCCAAATAACATATGGAAAAAAAAAGAAATTTATGTCACTGATTGATCATTCCTTACTTATACTACTTTTTGAACTGTTTTTTTTTTTTTTTCTTTGATTATCGTTTGCATAATCATTTCTGTCCATACACTGTTGTATGGATATCTACTTACCTTACTGCTCTCCGCAGTTTCAACAAACCGCTCTCTTCAACAATTTCCAATGGATAGTCCTTTACTGGAGAAATCACACCTTCGAATGGGGCCTCAAGAGTGGCTGCATGATGTTTTTCTCCCTCAATTAGAATGCGTTGAATGTGGCCTGTTAACACTGCACTTCCCTGATGAACAAGTTTCTGATTTAGTTTCAAACTTTTACCGGGTGCCACGCGTACCTGTTCTTCTTGATGTGGCCCCTTTGGCATTGCATAGATGACCCTCAACTTAGCTGGCCGGGATGCGGTATTGCGCACCACTGCGGAGTACACCATACGTGGAGCTGGTGTCATTAATGTGTTAATAACTTTTTTTTTTTTTTGTTTAAACTGTAACTGTGGTTTATTGCTTAAATCTGAGTGTAATGGGGGAAAAGGTACAGATACAATAATAATACAAAAGAAATGAAAAAAAAAAAAAAATACAAAATTGGAAGGGGTAATATGAATATGGATGTTGATCTATTACTCTAACAAAAGATAAACAGAGAAACATATAGATAGATAGATATATAGACGCACACACGCAGCGAGAAAAAGAAAGAAAGAAAGAAAAATCTTTCACTCAGTGTTGCAAGAAAAGCAGGTGAAGAAGGTGTCAATGCATACCATCATCATAGACACACGCAGGAAAACAAAAAAAAAAAAAAAAAAAAAACGCCCAAATAAACTTGAAAAAAAAAGGAAAATACAAGCACTCACACATATCTATATTTCTCCTATGGATGACCATGCAACTGTAGTATGTTACCATCAGAACGAATTTCTACTGAGTAATCCTTCACAGGTGAATTCACACCATCAAATGGGGCCTCAAGTTTGGCCCCATCAACGGCAATACATCGAATGTGAGCAGTTAGCTCCATGTGTTCAACCTGAACAACCTTCTGCTGCAGTACCGCTGACTCTCCGGGTTGAATAAGTACTGACACTTCCACATCTTCCATATTGTTTGGCATAGCATAAGTGGCATGCAATTTTACCAACTTTGAAGTGGTATTTTTCACACGAGCAGAGTACACGTGGCGAGGAGGAAGAACCATTGTTGAGGATATGAGTTTTTTTTTCTTTTGTTTTTTTCTTCTTTGTATGTTGTGTTTGTGCAGTCGAACTTCTAAGCAGATAAAAAATAAATAAATAAATAGAGAAACGGTATATTTAACAGGCAAATAGAGACATAGATAGGTAGATAGAAATATAAATAAATAAACGAAAAATCAAGTAAAGAAAAAAGAGATAAAAAAACAAATACAATATTAATAAGATCATTCGCTAGTATTTCACTCCGTTTGTGCTTGCCCAGTTGCCAACATATAGTAACGTTCTGCTAAAGGCCAATTGCAACTCTTAAAATAATTTTCCACATATTGTTCTAAACCAGAGAGTCCATAATCTAATCGATAGGCACTCTCGTGCAAATTAATCCCCAACAACGGGATAAGATCACTAGCAACAGGACATGCACCATGTTGAAACTCAACAACATCAAACATTTTTCCAGTCCAAACCAAATACACCCAACCACTACGTTCTTGATGTGATAGTACCGCAGTTTTCATTAACCGCTTTACTTCCTCCATGGCATCCAGTGAACCTGTACGACTATACTGCATTTGGAAGGCTTCACGTAATTGTGCTGGTACATCTGTACCCCACGGCCGAAGCGATTTATAAAAAAAACAATAATTAAAATGTTCAGCTGCTGCTGTGTGAGTTACCGCCTGCGTGGCATCAAAGGAAGTCTTACGAATGACCGCCTCAAGATTGTGTCCTTCCAGAGGTGTACCTAAAGTGTGTCGATTCAGCGTCTCCACCGCATCTCGGTGAAAAACGTTGTACTGTAAATCAAATTGTCGTTTAGAGATAAGAACAGGAATTCCAGAGTTTGTAGGATAATTAAGTCGTGGTAAGAAAAAGAAACCAGTTTTTTCTTTTTCTACGTCTGATCGCGTGGCGGCTGCCTCTGTCTCTCGGAATACAGCTGTTGCCAAATATGGAGAAGCGGAGGATCCATTTGTGTTAATCACCGCACCTTTTGGAACATATGCGTGAAAGCAAAGACGCAGCGAATGGCGCATCTCCCTACAAAAAAAAATATATATATATCTATATCTATATATCTCTACACCTTTTCGTTTGATTACACGATTTACAGACTCCAACACAACGAGATACAGTAAAACATAAGAAGGAAGATAAAAGGGAGAACAGAGAAGTAATAAAAAAAGACTTTGTGACTTGTGCAAGTTTTCCAAACTCATATTTTCTATCATCTCATTCCGTTGCGTTTTATTTGTTTTTTTTTTTTTTTTTTTTTTTTTTTTTTTTTTTTTTTTTTTTTTT